GGGCTCTGGACACGAAAGAAGGTGCACAGCCTCGGACCACAGGTGTTGAGAGCAGGACTGAAGATGTGACACCCACACACACACCTTATGCAAAATAAATAACGTCCTTTGCCAAGAGACCACTGTTTGCAGCCAAGTGGCTGAGAAGCACAACCAAATTCCACGCCATCCCCAACTGTTCTGAAATGGCCGTGCTCTGGCACACAGTGCTCCAGTGTGGCCAACAATGCTGCCAGATCTGGAGCCAGCTGGGCACCTGCAGCCAGCCCTGGAGAGGGGCCTGCAGAGACACACACCCGCGTCCTTGGAGAACACCCTGCTGACCAGGGTACAACTGTTTCCCTGAACCAGCTGACAGGGGAGAGCCCGAGAGGTGAGCCGGAGTGGGTCTGGCAGGAGTTGGAGGTACAGGCCTTGCAGCAGTCTGAGGGTGGAGGTGCCAGGACTGCCGGGGTCACCTCCCTCTTCTGGCAGAAGTCAGCCTAAGAATTTTTTAGCCTGGGCTCCAGGCCACCTGTTGGCCAATGGTGTGAGCCCTGGAGTTCAGCACCTAAAGAGCAGCATTCCTCCTCCAGCACACCTGCTGCGGGCCAGCTCCAGGCAGGAGATTTAGTCACAGGTCTAAGTGGGGTTCTGCCAGGAACTCTCAGGCAGAGCCAACTGTGTCCCAGGGTCAGCGGGCACTCTCCCACCACGGACGATGCCCTGGGCACCCACAGGCAGACCACACTACGTCCCCAGGTCTGTGGGCACTCTCCTACCATGACAGCCAGGAGCCTTGAAAATCCAGTATGAGAACTGGCAATAGCAGGCATTAGAAAAAAGGAAAGGAGGGAGGGAGAGAGCGAGGGAGGCCAAGGGCACGGGGCTAACACTTCTCTTCCCAGCACAGGAGTTAAAACGTTATCAGTTTCTACTCCCCAGATTTCACAAGTCAGCGACAGGGGAACAGAACCAGGACATTCCAGCTACCTCGGAAGAATTATTTTCAAGTCCCTGTCATGTAATTCACTCAGGACAAAGGCAGAATTGTGTCAGCGCCTGTGCCTAAACCAGCTTTCCATTCCAGATGAAAATGTCTGGTTTGCCTTTAGAAAACTAAAAAAGGAGAGAGTAAAAATATAAAACTTTAGTAGCTAAAGGAGGCAGGAGCTGAAGACCCCAGGCCAGCCAGAGGGGAGCAGACTGCTGCTCGGGTCACCTGCCGTGCCCACCAGCAGTGTCGTTAGCCCAGCTGAAGAATTTATAGTAAGCACTTTTCATATCTGTAATTCTTCAGTGCTGTTTTGGAGATCATGCCCAGCTTTTACGACTGCTAATAGAAGACTCACGCTGCTCTGAATGAGTGGATTGTCTGTAATGAGAGGGGCTCACCCTACAGGGACGGAGTGCAGAGTTCAGTCCTAATTGAATTTAGGCGGGGGCGCTGGTATTTCAGGCATGAAAGTGAAGATAGGACAATGAAGATAAAATGGTAAGTTGCCCAGACTGGACCTTCTCACTCGGCTTTGACAGATTCACAGTGAGTTGGAGTCCAGGGCCCACAGCGAGTTTTCAGATAGGTGTGGGCTGGCGCTGAGCTGGGAGGTCGGCACTCGCCCGGGTACTGACTTCCTCCAGGATGGGCCTGAGCAGGTCTGGTCTACTGGTCAGTGGAGCCAGCCTTTGGCCCCGAGTGTCTATCACTTCTAACTGAATGGTCTAAATTTAAGACACCTGACTGGGCTGGGAAAGCTGTCAGAAATCACGACCATCTAGGTGGGGAGACTTCATGAAAATACTGTCACTCGGAGCCCTGACTCCAGACCACCGAAATCAGGATGGAGAGTGGGCTGGGGTCAGGACCCGCAGATGAACATATGTGTGGCCAGGACCGAAAATCACCTGCCAAAAAGGGAGATAAAAAAGTGATGAGCTGTGAGCATGGGAACACGTGCTGCACCCCTCAATGGAGAAGTGAGCCCCACCAGGAAATGAAAACACACACTGGAGAGAAAGAGGAACCTTCAGATGCAGACAGCCCATGTGACAAGGAGGAGAAGGAGAAACCAGATCCACAGAACCCGAGACGGCACAGCCACAAACAAAGCCTGGGGCAGCTCGGCCCAGCACTCAGGCACACTTCCCTTCAGGGAGATTTTTTGAAAATACAATAAAAACCTTTTCCCCACATT